CATTAGCACCTCTAGTAATATATTTACTGAGAAAAATGGTGACGTGTTCAATACTTATTTTACCCGCTGTATAACACAATGAACTAGTTAGACATAATGAACAGTAATGAACTCAAATACTTTTAACCTCATTTGATGGCAGAAATGCATTTAGAATAAGTTGACTAATACTAAAATGACAACACTTTGTGAAGTTTTGTTTTAATCTAACAAAAATGTCAGAAGAAGAAAACCCAGTTTCTGTTCTCAGGTGATGTGACTCTGCTGCCCCCTTCTGTCACCTCCCCTCAGGTGCTCCTCAGTTCTTCAGCATGAACCGCCCCGTGCAGCAGCCCCAGAACCCCCAGGTGGGGGGCTCCCTGCCATTCCGCAGACCCTCATCCGTCACCGGTCAGCCCAACACCACCCACAACCCGGCCCAGCTCAACGGGGGACCGCACTTCGCCCAGAACCAAGGTACAGCTTTGCAAACTGGTAATATTTGCTTTTTCCCTACATTTTCTTCACTCAGAAAGAGCTCCATCATTTATTTAGCTATAAAACAGTTTTGTACTCAACAGTTAATCCATTTAGGTTTTTTGTCTGTTAAAAACAATTTGTTCACTTAAAGAAGCTCAAATTAATAAATAACTAATTAAACCCATGGACTTGGTGTTCATCAATAATAAAAATATTGGATGATTTGAAAAAGATTTGATTAAAACATTGTGTGTGAGTCTCAATGGGTTTGCAGATTATCAGAGAGTAGTGATGGAATTTAAAGTGATCATATTTACCTATATTTGAATAGTTACTGCATCTTTACACATAATTCACTCAATCTTTTCAGTATATTTAGACACATGATCACAGAAACTCTGTTTTCTTATTCTTTTTTTAGAGTATTTTTCTCCGCATGAATGTGTTTTTATTTTCAGTATTCCTTTAAATTAATATCCATTTATATGATTCAAAGACCTAAAGTTGGTCTACTTACTTAAATCAAAGATTTTCACACATTCAAACAAAAAAATGTTCCTCTGTCTCCTGTTTTTCTTTTAAGACTCATGTTTTCAATTGTTAACATCAAACTGTTAAATTTATTCAAACTGAACGAGACTCTTAATGTTTTATTCAGACTTTTCCTGTCTGCGTTTTGTTTCTGTCGCTTCGGATCAGCATCTCTGCCTTCAGAGCTCGCTTCACCTCCTCACTGCGCTCTGCTCCAGCTTTGCAAACTTTTGACCTTTTTTTTTTTGAGTGTGTGTGCGTGCGTGCGTGCGTGCGTGTGTGTATATGTGTGTGTGTGTGTGTGCTCCTTTTCCACTGCTGTGATGTAAGATTATTTTACTTTTGAACTTTAATTGAGTTTGAATTCTAAACTTATAACACAAGACTTTAAACTGCTACTGACAGTCCTTTATGGAATAATGAATCTTTTTTTATTCTTTTAAAACCTAGATATATTAATTTCAACTGTTTAATAAATTGAATGTATTTATGTTTTGAAGTTTAAATCAAAAGTATAATTGACTTTTTTAAAGTTGGGCTCTATGGTAAATATCTTACCTGTTGCAGATGGCCCTTTGAACGCCGTGATTATCTGTGGCGGCCATCTTCAATTGGGTTGACTTGATGTACATCCATTGCTCATCTCTGAGTGTTTAATTCAAATCTGCACAGTGCTTCATGAAATATTTTGCTAACAGACAGACAAATATGAATGTCTGTCAACTTTATTTAGTAGCAGGCAGTTATTAAATTGATGCGGGTATTTAGAAAATATCTAATCGCTTCAAAGTTCTAGCATTATAAGGCATTTAATAAATGTAATTTAATTTGCTTATAAATAAAGTATTTTTTCGTCTGTGATCAGTATAACTCACTCACTGTGCTCTGCTGCATCTATTGCCCTCATCTTTTCTTTGTCTCTTTCTGCTGTGCTTTTCTTATGTATCTTCTAACGTCTTGCTCTCGTGTCTCTGCCGTCCCTGCGTCCCACTCTGTCTGGTGGTAGCAGGCCCACTCGCTCCCCCTCCCCCGTCCATGCAGATCACCCCTCAGCTGCCTCTGATGGGCTTTGTGGCCCGAGTTCAGGAGACTAGTAAGTGGCTTTTTAGCTCCTTGCTCCGTCTGCATGACCCTTTTTCCTCCCACTGCCTCCTCAGCTGTCAGGTTTTACCCCAGGCTGAATATGTTCACTGCCATCCACCAACATGAGCTTTATGGGGAAGCTGCAGCCGCCTCATTCAGGGTTCTGTTTCTGCCTCCGTGTTAACGTCTGAGCTCTGACATTCATTCTTCAAGAAGCTATTTTATTTATTTATTTATTTATTTATTTATTTATTTATTTATTTATTTATTTATTTAATCAAAATTTTAGGGCTCCCATATTCACTGAAAGCTGTGGAAGTTTTTATTTTTATTTTAACCTCTTGCTGGTTCCTTGCCTTTTCTCTCAGTTCCTACGGTCTTAAATGTTTGTCTTGTGTTTTTTTTAAAGTTACAGATGTAAAGACACAGACATATATGCTCAAACTCACTTAAAGTTGTCATGAAGTAATCTTTCTCAGGTGATTGAACCCTTTAGCTGTTTCACACCTTCTGACTTGATCGCCAGCGTTTTCAACAACGGGTTTTTATCTTTTCAATCTTGCGTCCACACAGAAATAGGAGTGTAAGAAAATATCGATACACTGAAATATCGCAATATTTCATTTCCCGATATTGTATCGATATTCTAAAGCCATGTATCGATTTTTCATTAAGGTTTAAAATGTCAACTTTCCTGCCAGCCGTTCATTTTTATGTTGTAGTTCAGCCTCTGACCACTAGTTGGCAGCAGTGAGCCACGCATCGTGACCCCTCTGTCATGATAGTATCGTATTGCCAAATTTTTGCCAATACACAGCCCTCCACAGAAACAGCATTTTAAGACCCCAAAAAGTGTATTTATTTTTTTACTGGGTTCCGGATTTATAAAATCTTGAAACACCATGTTTTTTTTTCCACAAACACCCTACCCAACCTTTGAAAAAATTATTCCATAGTGCCACCTCCTGCCATAGTTACACCTCGAAAAATGACATATTATGTGTTTGCTTTGCTAAGTTTTTATTTACTACAAAACTGTCATATCTTTTATTACTTCATTTAATAAACATGGCTGATAAACAGCAAAGTCTTTAAAAGAGCAGCCATATTTTAAAAACCTTACATTTATTCGGCTAATACAGTATCAAATACTTTTTTAGAACCACAGCATGCCAGACTGTTTTTCAAAATTTGGTAAAACTCCCCAAATTTCTTGTCGTTCTACTTCACCTCCTTTGCTCCCCGCCTCCCCTCCCCCTCACTCAGCTCAGTCTTGCATGTCAATCTTTGCTCGTTCAGCATATCTTTACAGTAGATCTAGTGCGTCATACTATACAGCACTGAAGCGTTCTCTACTTACAGAAACTGTTTGAATTTGTCTAATTAAACCAGCTGTTCAATATAACCGAGTTACAATATCAGATCTCATGTGAGGCACTGGTGAATTTAATCAGTGGTGGGGGAGGGGGGTATATTACAGAAAGCTCTCTGTGGTTTCAGGTACTTTTTGAAGTTTTAAAATATTTTAAACAGTTCAGGATGTACAGTAATAGGTTTGCATGCCACATCCTGTTGGCCCTGACAGAATAGTAATAGGCGGGCTAAAGCAAATACTGTACAATACACTACCAGCCAAATGTTTTGACATGCCTTCGCATTCGATGTTTCCATTCTTTTCCTCTTTTTCCTACAAACACTGAAACCATTCAGACCCTGAAGAAACATACGTACTGTAAGGAACCATGTAGCAAACCTAGAAGCACCAAACAAACCAAAATATGCCCTTGCTCTGACCACAGCCGTGCACTCAAAGTTTGAAGCTGTGTGTTCAAACTTGGTAGCGTATACGTATATAAGGAGTTGTAACCATTTCTGTGTTTGCTAAGGTCAGATAGTTGTGGTTTCTGTCATTGAGCAGAATGACTCTAAAAGGTAATCAGTGAACATCCATTCAAATATTATTTTTTTGAGAGTTTTATTAATGTGTGCACTACGGTTGGGCATAATCATATCGTGTGCAATTAATCGTCAGAAAAACATTAATTGATTATTTTTTGGCACTTGACGATTAATACGATTAATGCCACCAGGCAGAGTCCGATCTGTGCTCCTCTCCTCTTCAAATATGATGAACATTTAAGCAAAAGTTCAGTAATTTATTTATCCATCAACACAATTAAAATTTGATGTGTAGCCTGAAGTCTGTAATTTTGACACAGTTTGGAAAAGATTTTTACGAAGAGCAAATCTTTCTCACTAAATTGGTCATGTGACTAGGACATAAGGGTGTCCAGGGAGTTAATCGTCAAATTATTCGTTATCGGCTAAATACCACAATTAATCATGATTTATTTTTTTGCCAATATCCCCCAACCCTAGTGTGCACTGGTTCATTAAATAAATTTGGCAAACGCAGACTCAGACAATTACAAGATAAAAAGGTAACAGCAGGGTTCTCTCAAACTGGTTTGTTTTATTTTTGTGTTGTTAAAATGTAAAAAAAAAAATCATCCAATAAATTTTAAATTGTTAATCTTTAAACCTATGGAATCTTTTGACAAAAAAGGCAAAGGAACCCTGATTATTATCTTTACTCCGTGACAATTTTCCATGGAGTTTCAGACCTGTGATTTTCACCAATGTTCTTGCTGATGGTTGTACAGCTCACTCCAGCCTTGTATAGAGCTACTGTCTTGTCAACTTTGATCAGTTTTCCCTTTTCACGTAATGAAATATGAAGAATGAACAAATTTTTTTAAAAGCAGTTTGTGTCTTGAACTGCAATTCAAAAAGTCAGGGAGCCCTGATTGGGAGATGAATGCAGTTTCTCATGTCAGAAGATGTTGGTGATTGGCAGCAAATAATGTAAGAAAAGATGGAAAGCATGAATTTTTATTTTACTTGTCCCCCTCCATTGCCTAAATATCTTTTCCTTCCATCACTGCATGTTGAACCTTTTATTTTATATCATATTAAATTCCAGTTGCATCCTGTTATTTGTTTATGTTTTCATTAAAAGCATGAAAGTACCGGTTACCACTTTTATTGCCCTTCCTCTGTTCTAACTCTTGTATCTTGTCGACCATTTAAAAACTACTTGTAGTCTCAGACGTGCCGCCCCCGCCTCCGCCTGCTGAAGAGCCGGTGTTTGAGGAGCCTACGCCTCCTCCACCGCCGCCCGAGGACTACGAGGACGATGAGGATGAAGAAGAGTCGGCAGTAGTGGAGTACACCGATCCTTACGCTGAGGAAGACCCACCATGGGCTCCACGTAACTACCTGGAGAAAGGTTTGCATTCAAACAGATTATTTTTGAATTTGAATATTATAGTCATACATACCGCAAAACAGGAAGTTGCTTATCACACCAAATTTAAATCAATAATTTATATTTCAGTGTTCAAAATAATTTTGGGTTTCCCCTAATGTATTATTAGACTGACAGGCCACTAGGCTTTGCATGCCACTCCACCAGGCTTAACGTTTGTTTTACCAATGTTGCCTGCAGAGCAGGTGCTAAACATATCACTCATTGAGCAGCAAAGCTAAAAGCTATTGTAATGGCCCTCAGTGTGCAAAAAAAAAGAGTTGTCATCTTTAAAATCTTTAGAGTTTAACAAAACATTCTGTTTGGTTTTTTTAACCTAGGAACTCAGAGAAACAACAGAAACCCCGGCCGAACATTAATCAATGACAACAGAGACCAGTAAGATTTATAGATTCACTTTGCAAAGGAGAAATTCAGTGATACTTAACCTCGCTTGTGAGCTCAGTGAAGCACAGAGAAATTTCTGTCCTCTGGGGGCGTGAACAGTCGCTTTATTCACACACGTAGGAATGAAGTCATAATGTTACAACAAATCAGAGATCAGTTATGTGGTTTGTCATAGGTATAGGAACCAATTAAAACACTTGTTGCTGGGGTTTAATATGTGAATAATAAAAACAACACAGACTTGTTTTGTCTTACCAAAACTGCTTTAGAGCAG